TTGGGAAGCGCGGCGGCTCCCGCCGAGGGTTCGGATCCCATATAGAGACCGGTCCGCTCACTGGTAGAGCGCGGTGCGGGCGCAACACCGAGGGTTGCGATCCCATTCCAGGCGCGGTACAGGCGCGACACTGAGGGTTGCGATCCCATTACAAGTCATGAAAAAAGACAAAAAGGGGGGGAAAAAAACTTATATTAAGCTGCTTGAAGGCATCAGTTCACTGGTGCTCTATTCACTGGGGGGGATTCTTTTTAACTGTTTCATTTCAGATAGTTTCTATAGCTGTTGTCTTCAGGGTCCCCGGGCGCGGTACAGGCGCGACACTGAGGGTTGCGATCCCATTACAGGTCATGAAAAAAGACAAAAAGGGGGAAAAAAAAAACTTCTATTAAGCTGCTTGAAGGCATCAGTTCACTGGTGCTCTATTCACTAGGGGGGATTCTTTTTAACTGTTTCATTTCAGATAGTTTCTATAGCTGTTGTCTTCAGGGTCCCTTATCTTATCTTCTGCATGTCTAATCTGCTGGTAATCCCATCAGTGTATTTTTCCATCTCGTACATCTTTCTTATATCTTCCATGTCTCTACTTAATTCTTTGAACATATGGAATATAGTTATAATAACTGTTTTAATGTCCTTATCTGCAAATTCTGACAACAGTGTCAGTTCTGGGTCAGTTTTGATTGGTCGATTATTCTCCTTTTTGCGATCATGTTTCTTGTTTCTTTGCATGTCTGATAATCTTTGTGTGGATACCACACATTGTTATTTTACTGTGTTGGGTAATCGAGATTTTATCTTTCTATAAATATTCTTGACCTTTGTTCTAGTATGCAGTTAATTACTTGGAAACTTTGATCCTTTGGGGTCTTGCTTTTATAATTTGTCAGGCAGGTCTGGATCACCAGGCAGTGATCCATCTAGGGCTAATTATTACCCACTACTAAGAGATATTCCTCAATTTTCTACCTAATGCTCTGTGAATTGTGTGTTTTTCCTGGCTGGCTGGGGGAAAGAGCCACTGTTTCCAGCCCTGTGTAAGCGCCACGCACTATTCTCTAAGCCTTTCAGGCATCTCTTTTTTCCTCCAACCTTGGGTACTTTCCCCATACACATGCCCTGATCCATATTCGTCTCAATACGCAAGGGGGACCTTCTGCAGGTTTCTGGAGTTCCTTCTCTATGCTGCTCTCTCCTCTTTGGTACTCTACCCTACAAAGTATGGTCAGACCCTCAGCTCTTCTCCTCTACTCAGGGAGTCATCAGGCTACACCTGGGGCCCCCGCCTGCCCTGCGGCTGGAAAGTCTCTCAGGGCAGGAGGCTGAGACATCACGGGCTAACCCTTTTGTTTCCCTTCTCACAGGGACTGCTCCTCATTGCCTAATGTCCAATGTTGTGAAAACTATTGTTTGATATATTTTGTCTGCTTATTTAGTTGCTTTAGTAGCATTGGTAAATCCAATCACTGATACTCCATCTTGAGTGGAGGCAGAAGTCTCCTAACAGTAGATTTCAATGGCCTATTGGCTTGTTGACACCTGGCTTTGAGAGAGGGTCCGGTGCACTGATGAAGAGCATAGATGCTGGAGTCAGGCCAACTCACAGCTCATCTCCACCACTTCCTGGCCACGTGACCAGGAAGTGGCCAGGTTAACCTCTCTGTGCCTCCACTCCCTCACCTGTAAAATGGGGGTCATAATAGTTGTGCCTCATAGGATTTTTCAGAGGATAAAACAAAATAATACATTTAAAGGATAACACTTGAGTTCCTGGAACTTGGTAACATGTTCAGTACATTTCAACTATTGTTGTCATTTTATTTTTAATTATTCTAAGACCTCAGTAAACACTTGTTAAATGAATGAATGCCTGCTCTTGGCACCAGGTACCACGAATGTCATCACCACAGGTGCAGTGGGACCTACCTGGGACTCCCACGGGTGCACTGGGAGAGCTAAAAACATTAGCCTGAGCTCCCAGAATGGTGATGCATCCGTGAGACCTGACTCCCCCACCCTCAATTGCTGCCATTCTGAGAGTTTTCATCTCCTGTGTAACAGAATTGGGCTATTTTTATTTTTCAGGGGAAGACAGGAAGACCCCCAGTGAATCCAACAGCCCCTCTTCATCCTCTCTCTCAGCCCTGAGTGATTCAGCCAACAGCAAAGATGATTCAGATGGCTCCCAGAAAAACAAGGGCGGGAACAACCTGCTGGTCATCTCTGTCATGCCCGGGAGCCAGCCCTCGCTGAACAGTGACGAAAAGCCAGAGAAAGGTAAGGGAGGAGGTGGGTGTGGCCTGCTCAAACCTCCACACTCTAGGATGGCCCAGTCTTGAGAATAAGCTCTGGAGAGGAGCGACATTGAAAAACAGATATTAGTACCTGGATACAATATAATATGCATCACCTAAAATTTGCAATTACTTCTGGCTTGATTTGCATTCAAGTGTGGAGTGGAAAGATATAGAGGGTGACGTTGACTCCGAAGCTATATGTTAACTCCTTTTAGTACAGATGCAGGCACAGTGCCTGGAAGGGAATAGCCGTCAGAGGTGGGGGGCTGGGAGGAGGGGGGAAGTCAGCCCCACTCCTGCCCTCTTGTCCCTCTGCCCCATGCACCTCTATACCCAGCTTCGGTCCTTCCAGGGTTCGAATGCGTTTTTTGCAACTTTGTCTGCAAGACGAAGAACATGTTTGAGCGCCATCTGCAGATACACCTCATCACCCGGATGTTTGAGTGCGACGTGTGCCACAAGTTCATGAAGACCCCCGAACAGCTGTTGGAGCATAAGAAATGCCACACTGTCCCCACCGGTGGGCTCAAGTAAGGAAAGCAAGTACAGAACCTTTTACTGCGTTGTTATTAAACACCCTTTCCCGCTCCCTACCCCACCCCATCCCCTGAGGGTTTTGGGGGTCATGGAGATGGGGAGCTTGGGATGAGGGGAGTCAGTCAGGAAGCTCTGTTGCCTTTAGCTGGATTGAATTAGACTTGTCCCCTAGAGGTTAACAGACCTCAGCAGGAGAATCCGTCTCACAAGTATTGCAGCATTCAGGGCACGGAAAATGACTTACTGGATCAACTCAGCCTGCAAGGGTAGACTCATCCTGCACTGCTCGAGTTTTGTTCAGACTTGATTCAAATGGATGTGGGGTTAGTGTCCACAAGTGTAAATCATTATGCTGCCACTGCAGTTCACCATCTCTGTTTATTAAATGGCTTGCCATATATCTTTTACATAAGCATTACAACCACCCTACCCCCCCAAAACTGGAACCTTGGCGGTTTGAATAGGCAAGAGGCAACGTTTTCCATGCAAAGCTCACGTGCTTCATGTCTTCCTGCAAACATGCGGGTACCTTCTCCCAAAGATCTAGACAGCGAGCATCATTAACCCATATTTGCCAGAAGCCCTCTGCTCTCAAGTGAGACCAATGAATTATTATCAAACATATTGTGTGTCTGGCTTGACAACAGGTGCTAAAGGGCACACAAGGAATAAAACATAATTTCCATCCTCAGGAAATTTATGTCCTAATATTACTAGAATATAATCTTCCCAGTGATTCTGAAATCAGAGTCTCTGTTCACAAGGCACTTATGGTCTAGTAAAGAGAAAGAAGCATATGTAGTCGGGCACAAAAAGATACAGTTTTCAAGTCATAATTATTAATTTTTAGATGAACTTATCATGTAGTTAACTGGATTAAAAAAATACATTTTAGTTAATTCAGGAAAAAAAAAAACTTTTGTTTTTAAACATTGTCATCATCATTAAAACTCACAGCCTACCAGAGAGGTAGCATGACTCCCCTGAGTGGGGGAGGAAGGGAGAGACCCAGAAGGCCCCTGAGAGTCGAGTGTTGGGGGAAAGGCTTGTCCAAACAGAAGAGTCAGGGAACAGCACCTACTATTAAGTTCCATTTTGTTTCCCTCTCGGGGCACTTGTGGGGGAAGGTGGTTGAAAGGGTTGGGGAGTGGTGATTATTTCAGGAAAACCAGTAGGTGGGTAATGCCTAGGAAGAGATCGTTCGGGAATTTGATTTTGTTTGTTCCCTTATAAATATTTGTGTGCTCTTATTTTTAAAAAAAAGAACCATGTTTTTCCGTGGTTGGACTAGTGCTCGTTGCCCTTCCCAGTAGCCCAGTCACACCCATTAACTTTACAGCCCCTGCCAGTCGTGGCTTTGCCAGTTTGCCTTTCCTCAGGGACCTAAGAAGTCCTGAGCCTCTGAGCCCATTGGGGAGAATGCACGGTGAACTCTGATGCTTCTGCTGGTACAGTCACTTCCCGTGCGGTGCTAACCGTCCCCTGTGTAATAGTTTATGTTCTAGGATGACCAAGTAGAAGAATACTTTGAAAAAATTGATAATGCCTTCTGGCTATACAGTGAGTCTTTGTTTTGTTTTGTTTTGTTTCCTTTGCCACATTAGAGAATTAATTTGCCTGAGAGAGTGTCTTTAAGATAAATACTGGGAGCATGGAAAACCCTTAGCACTTTGCCTGAGCAGCGAAAGAAAGATTGAGCTGTGGGTCACAGAAATGTCCTTAAAATGAAACAGACTGCCAATGTCTAAATTGCTTTTCTGTGATGGAACTGCTTGTACTCTATATCCTGTTCATAATGCAGATCAAATAAGATTATGCTATTATTTTTCTTTTGCCGTAGCTCAGGACAGTGGTGAGTTTCAGACTCCTCTAGGTAAGGCCCAGCTTGGCGTAGGGGTTGTGTGTGCACCTGACCTGGGAATGGGCTTTATATTTCTCTCGTGTGCACTCTTCTGTGAGCTGAGGTTCAAAGGCTAACGGCGAGCTTGGCGCTGAGAAGGCAGTGCACGGTGCACTTGGTTGTGTTGGGCTCTGCTAAACACCTCTCCAAACCCCGAGGACAGTCCACTCCTGGGCCCTGCCCTGCAGGACCCAACCAGAGTTGAGGCAGCCACGTTTGCATTTGCATTCTTTTTGGAAAGAGAGCAAACACGCTACAGTTATCCTATAAGCCACCGACTCAAGCCAGGAAGCTTCTGAAAGAGAAGCTCAGCCCTCACCACTCCCTTAGCCCCTCTGGACAGTCAGGAGGTTTGGTGGTAGCATATCTGCACCTCAGAGGATGGGGAAACTGAGCCACAGAGAGGCCCAGGCTTTGGCCGAGAGTATCCAGCTAGAGCCTGATAAGGTGATGGAGCTGGAACTAAAATCCACCCTTCTAGAATCTGCCTAAATTACTTGTAGTGACCATGCAAACAATGTATCAGTAGGTCCTGAGTGCTCACCACGTGCTGAGTGCTCTTCCAAGCACTACAGAGAATGCAGAGCAAATGTTAAGATATGGTCCTGCCCCCTGAGAACCTGTGATCCAGTTGGATTACTATTATTTCCATGGCCCAGTGATGTATTAATCATGTCTTCGAGCTCTAGATAGCAGCTGTCTCCCTTCTTCCTCATTAGCGATGGGCTGTTGGGTGGGCTTCCTTCTCCTGCTATGCCCCCAGCTTAGTCCTCACCTTCCTTGCCCGATAAAGAACCAGCACTTTAGGAGATACGTTTTAGGAGTACATATACATGTATATACACACGCACGCTCACACACACACAACACACACACACGCAGGCCTTCTTATCCTAACACCCTTTAATAAGCACGATTCTGACCCCTGTGAACTTTCTGTTTGCTGGAGGTAGCTCTCCCCCTATGAGCTGTTCTTTAAAACCTCTTAGCCTTTCTGCGTGTGCTTGGTGTGGTGCATGAAAAGTCGATTCTTTGTGTTGCTCCCATCTAGAGGGGAGGTCCAGAGGTTTAGACCTCTGCCATGTCTGCTTGGGAATGGGGAGGGCTCGGAGGGCGGGTTGGGGGCTGGAGGGGAAAGCCAGCTTATTTATTCCTGAACTTTCTCTGCTTCCCCTCATGAGGGCTAGCATTGGCTGTTGCAGCCAGGAGCCCCAGAATAGGCTGAGCAACCTCGTCGGAGCTCCTCCTTAGCAGGGACTGCTCTAGCAGCAGTGGAAGCCGAGAGGGCCATCTCCCCACTGAGAGGCGCAGGGCGGGGCTGGGCTGGGCTGGGCTGGGCAGGTCAGGCCTTGGAGACTGGGCAGGGGGAGGGAGGTGAAGGAAGGCAGGTGAGGAGGGTAGAAACGTGGACTGCCGGAGCCTTTCTGGCTGAACGTCCTTTGCGTTGCTTCCCCCGGCAGGTGCCCATTCTGCATTTATTCCACCAACCGCCCCGCTGCCATGGAGTGCCACCTCAAGACCCACTACAAGATGGAGTACAAGTGCCGGATCTGCCAGACAGTGAAGGCCAACCAGCTGGAGCTGGAGACGCACACCCGGGAGCACCGCCTGGGCAACCACTACAAGTGCGACCAGTGCGGATACCTGTCCAAGACCGCCAACAAGCTCATCGAGCACGTGCGTGTCCACACCGGGGAGCGGCCCTTCCACTGTGACCAGTGCAGCTACAGCTGCAAGCGCAAGGACAATCTCAACCTGCACAAGAAGCTGAAGCACGCCCCACGCCAGACCTTCAGCTGCGAAGAGTGCCTGTTCAAGACCACACACCCTTTCGTCTTCAGCCGCCACGTCAAGAAGCACCAGAGTGGGGACTGCCCCGAAGAGGACAAGAAGGGCCTGTGTCCAGCCCCCAAGGACCCGGCCGGCCCTGGGGCCCCGCTCCTGGTCGTCGGGAGCTCCCGGAATCTCTTGTCTCCCCTGTCAGTCATGTCTGCCTCCCAGGCTCTGCAGACCGTGGCCCTGTCGGCCGCCCACAGCAGCGGCTCAGAGCCCAACCTGGCACTCAAGGCTTTGGCCTTCAATGGATCCCCTTTGCGCTTTGACAAGTACCGGAACTCAGATTTTGCCCATCTCATTCCCTTGACAACGTTGTACCCCAAGAACCACTTGGATCTCACATTCCACCCTCCCCGGCCACAGACTGCGCCCCCCAGCATCCCCTCACCCAAACACTCCTTCCTCGCCTATCTCGGACTAAGAGAAAGAGCAGAGACTGTCTGAGGGCAGCCGTGTTCTGTACCAAAAACAAAGAGACAAAGACAAACACACAAAACTTAAACACAACCCCAGCAGGTGTATGTTGCTGCAAAACCTACAGACCCCCATGGGTCTGAACCACGTGTACTGTATATCTTTAGTAAGGAATAGAGAATTGGCTCTGTGTGTATACCTATTGCATTGACCTGAAAGCTGCTTTATCCAATCTTCAGAAAGGTGACCTACTGCATACTCTACCTTCAGAGGCATGCCTCCCCAGCCACCCACTCCCACTCTCAGCCCTTCTCCGTGCTTTTCTCTGAACGGAATTTTGTCTTGTTATACCCTAAAGAGAGTGTCCTTAATAGCAATCAGCACTCGTAAGCTTATATACTGGTGCATTTGGATTTTCTGTTGGGTGAATGGGGTGTGTGGGCATTTGTGGATTCTGAAAGAGAAAGCCGTGTGTCGTGTGCCATGACATTTCTATTGCACATTCTTTGTACTAGCTTCTTTAACAGCGATGGACATTCTTTTCCCTCCTGGGTTGATCATCCACTACAGTCTCTCCCTGGGCTCCTTCATCCCCTTCTGTCTCTATTCTGTGGCTACAGAGTGGTAGGGCCTGGTGCTTGGTCGATGAAGGAACAGTAAACGTCTACAGTGCTGCTGGAGATTTCTGACAGAGTGCTGGAGACCTTGTCCTCAGATCTCTTCTGGTGATGAAGATACAAGGAATCAAGTGACTGATCTGAAAGAAATATCTTGCAGCACTGCAGCTAACCTCACAAAACTTAAGTGTGTTTTGTGTGCGTGCCCATACATAGACAATGTGTATGGTGCACATACACAGTGCGTCATTTTTTAAAGGGCAGATTATATATATATATATATGATGTATTAATTCAGTGGTTACCATTTGTTTGCAGGAGAAAAAATTGTATGAGTGAAAAATTTTATGGTCGATAAATCCAGCCAAGGAGATTAAAAGGGGTTTGGATAAATTCTGGGTATAAATGCTCAGACTAAAAAAAAAGAAACAGCAGTTTTGCACAGTGCTTTGGTCTTGCACTAGTTTTTGTTTCGCATCTGAAGAAAAAAAGTGAAATAAAAGGAAGAAAATGTACCTTTTTTATGGAATGAGTAGAATGTATGTTTGAAAATTTAGCCACAACCTCTTTGACATATAATGACACAACAAAAAGGTGCTGTTTAGTCCTATGGTTCCGTTTTTGCCCCTGAGAAGTTTCCATTGTGTTTGCAGATCCTCTGGCTATAGCGATATCCTCCATGTTATTAGTAATTCTGTATTCCATTTGTTAACGCCTGGTAGATGTAACCTGCTAGGAGGCTAACTTTATACTTATTTAAAGCTCTTATTTTGTGGTCATTAAAATGGCAATTTATGTGCAGCACTTTATTGCAACAGGAAGCAGGTGTAGATTGGTTGCATAGCCCTTTGCTAATCTTAAAAAGTAATGGGAGATTTTAAAAGAAAAAAAAGGAAAAAATCTTTGGCTAAATATGTTCCTTGCTTGTATTTTTAAAGACAACAGAATTTCCAGTATGAAACAGGCTGAAAGAGCAGAAGGAATGTGCTTTGTACATTAATGGGAAGTTTGGAATATAAAAGTTTATATATTATTTATCTATTGAAGAACTGGTGTACAGGAGGAGCGCTTTCTTACCGTGTTACCATTTTCCATCATGTGTTATTCTAGAGTTGGGATTTTTTTTTTTCCTCATGTTTCACCAGGGGAAAATAAAAGCATCCCTAATTTTCTTCCTCTAATCAGTTTGCTTCATCAAAAGCCCCCTGGAAAAGAGTACAGTTCTACAGGAAGCCAGAGACTGTACTGCCTGTCCCCACCATGGTCTCCCCCTCTCCTCTTCATACCAACCCTCCTTCCCCCAGGCCTATGCTCCTCTTCACCAGCCATCCAGCCATGGTTGGGGAGGCTGCTGGTGCCCTGGCAAACCTGTTTACACTAAAGGAGATGTCTACAGGGCAGGGAGGCCCAACCAGCTAGGGCATGAAGCTCCCAAACCCTCAGTCATCCTCCAGCAGAGACCCTTGCACTTGGCTGTGTTTAGAACATCGTTCAACCTCGCCATGTTAATGTCTCAGTAAAAGACACTATAGACAGTTATGGACAATACACTCCAAGAATACTGGGCTCATGGGTGGGTTGTTTTTTTAAAATGTCATGTCTTTATCCCCATATAATGGAGAATGTGCCACTTGGCTAATAATGTGTTTTCAAAATTACAAGTTCAGTGATGACAGGAAAGAGGGCTATGGTGATCCCACAGAGGCTGGCAGAAAAGGTGAATCACACTTAAGCACCAGCAGGTTAAAAACCTAAAAGGGTGACCCTGACAATTAGGACTATAGGTTTTACAGCGTGCCACTTGTGCAATAGGAGGTCCTAGGCTTGAAACTTTCAAGAGTGACAGGGGTGATGGAAGGAGACGTTTATTGCTCAAATGCCATGCATTTCACTGCTTGCCACTGAACTTGTATTTGAATGACTTAGTAATGCTTAATATAATTGGGCAACTTTTTTAGCACTTTGGAAAGAGTCATCAATCTTTCTGGTAAATTATAAAAGTTTTCTGAGTGAGAAAAGGTGTGTTTGGAGTTCGTTTGACTTTTTATATTATTATTGTTATTAATTAAAAAATCTACAGCATTTTTCAAACTCCACCTAGATAATATATACCCCTGAATTTGGTTTGCAGTTTGATACTCAGGGAAGGATGTGTTCCATAGATATCCTTTCCGTGTAAAACACTAACATCTTTGAGAAATTCACCTACCAACTAACTTCAATTCTGTTTTCACTATGCATTCTTCAATGAAAGCTAGCTTATTTTTCCATATAGTACTGCAGTTAGGGTTCTCAGCACTTTCTTCTGTCCTTTTTTTAACTCTTCATATTATGTTCAGATGATCATACTGTCAAGGTTTGTGTACATTACTGAAAATTTGTATTGTATAAAGCTTTTTGCATTACAAGGCTGTACAGGGTCATTTTGACAGTAACTGGTATATTCCTTTGCATCTTATGTTGCATTGCCAATTTCTAGTGTATCCAGTTTGAAAGTATAATATACTCTAATTAAAAAAAAAAAAAAAGAAACGGTTGGCTATACTTTTGTTTCTTTTTCTTTCTTGGTTGCCATCCTTGACTACTTGTAAGTCTCAGCATTTTGCTTGTCTTGTGTTGTTCTATTTTTTACTTTTCAGGGTATTTTAATCAGATTTCAGAAATGTTCACTCCTACTTTATAACTGTTATAAAATGCAAGTTTTGAACAGCCATAGTTATAATGCAAACTGTTATGTAAGTCATTAATGGCCATTACAGTTGAGAGCATATCCATCATTCAAGACAGTGGCAGGCTGGTTCCTTCCTGAAATTATTTAGTGACATTTAAAAGTGTTCACCAGCCTTACGCTCTTCTGCTTAACATCGTTTTATTGAACCCATAGCCAAAGGGGGAAAAAACACATTAATAATTCCATTTTTCTTAATGAAGTTGGGCAACTATGAGATTATGGTATGTTTTGCAAGCTAAATAATAATCTATCCAAGCAAGGAATAATAGTTCACCATTCAAGGGAAGGTACCAGAGAAAAACTGAGACCAAAAAAAAAAAAAAAAAAAAAAAAGCCAAAGGGGGAAAAAACACATTAATAATTCCATTTTTCTTAATGAAGTTGGGCAACTATGAGATTATGGTATGTTTTGCAAGCTAAATAATAATCTATCCAAGCAAGGAATAATAGTTCACCATTCAAGGGAAGGTACCAGAGAAAAACTGAGACAAAAAAAAAAAAAAAAAAAAAAGACGAAAAGCACACTAAGTTAAAACAATATTTTTTAAAAACTCATTTTAAAATTCTGTCTGAGACCTTCCTCATAAATCTGTGATGGTTGATAAAAATATATAAAGCAACAGAAGAGAATGTTTTGCGTGGTTCATAACTTGCATACTTACAAATATAACTTATTTCAAGAAATTGTGAACCACTTCACTCTCACATTAAAAAAGGTCAAATTTACTTTGTAAAAACTGTGATAATATAGGAGAAGCCACTTTGAAAATGACCAGTCACTAATCAGACACTATTTTCTCCATCATTTTTTCATTCAACAGCTGTTTTTTAGGTGATTGAATCAAGTTTTTTCATTTGATTCAAATACCAGTTTTGTTTGGGGGTGGCTGTACTTATTGAAAATATTAAAATCAGCCAGACTTCTTTGATTTTTGCTGGCACTACAGGGAGTAGCTTCTCATTTTGTATGCATGTTTCCTTTTTCCTTAGACTCCATAGCTACATCACGTTTTCCCTGTGGTTGAGAATAGCCAGCAATGTAAAGAAAATAATCATTAGTTTGGGAATCATTCTCCCTGGAATGGACTTCCAGTGACCTTGAGGAATGGTCTGGGAATAGAGCCTTCATGACAAGAAAGACCACGTCCTCACTTACCTAGAAACATTGTGTATGGACCTGGGTATCTCCAAGCCAGTCACGTGGCCTTTGTTTGAATTTTAACCCAAGATCCTAGATACTTTTTCTCCTGTCATCCTACATAAATAATGTTTTAAGCAAAAACTCAAGGCCATGTTTTCTATAATATGTCTGCAGCTTGTTGATTATTTGGTGGCCACCAGCAAACCATGCCTGACATTTAACAGAGCAGCAGCACTGGTCACAGGGGAACAAGCAGAAATGGCAAGGCTTGGTGAGTGCATGCCTCTCCTTTTCCACAGTTGGAAGCATCACCTTAGAACTCTTGCCTGCCAAAGGCCATGTGGGCTTGGGAACAACTTGCCAGGGGAAGGCACATCTTGTTAGTTGCCAAAACATGGGAATCAAATCGCCTCAGTGCTGCAGCCTGTGGGGAGGAAGGAGAGATGAGGAGCTCAGCGCACATTAAGATGGGAGGGAGGGAAGGAAGGGGCCAGCAGCTAAGTGATTTCTTCCAGGTTTCCAGAAGACAGAATGTAAAACTGGAATCCTTCCCAATAGCAGCTTAGAACCTGTGAGCAAAATCACAGATAAAAGGGCACCCTTGGAAGTTCAGGCTCCATTCTAAGGAGCCATCAATCACAAATATTCAAGATACTCCAGCCAACATGCTTACTTACATCATTCCTTCAGAATAGAAGGGTCCTGCAGAAAGTGGGGTTTATTTTGTGAATAACTACAACTAAGCAGGCAAATGTCCATACAGCAGGCCCTGGAGTAAGTGAAGTGCAGTGGCTCCCAGGGACCAAGAGACTCCATTCTTCCCCAGACCAAGGTCTGAGTGACCTCAGGTTATTAATCAAGATCTCTTCTTTATGAGGTGGTAGATCTTCTGTTGAAAATTCTTCCTTTAAGTTTGGGTCTGTAAAACAGGAAAATGCAAATCCTGCTTGCATTGGTAGGAACTGCAAAAGGGAAGATGAAAACCAATTGCTTTATCCCCTCAGAATTCCTTTGTGGTACAGTTGGTATTAATTCATTAATTCTAGGTTTCCAATAGAATTATAGACTTGGAGTAGAGAATCTACATCAATTCACACTTCAATATTTCCCTTACATCAGTCCCTGCAGATGGTTTTCTACCCTGTTTTGTAAGAATATCTGGATTACATATAACATTTTCCAACCATGAGGGACATTACCATGGAATCAGACTACTCGAGTTGAAGCCTGGCTCAAAAACAAACTAGGGGTGTGATTATGACATGCCATTAAGCATCTTATAAAAAGAGTGGTTGTAGGCAGAATCCTTGCAAAGCAGTTGTAACGAAAATGGCACCTCAATGTTTCAAGCCACAACAAGCTCAGGAGAAAAAATGTGACTAAAAATATTTTTCTGCCCACTTCAGAGTTTGAAAGGCCTAAAATTTTTCTCTTCTGATTAGAGCTAAAGCACCACGCTTGTATTGCCTGTGGTCATCTTGAAGTTGGCTTAAACATAGTTTACCAAACTGTGGGTACTTAATCTGGTTAGATGAGTTAGAGGTTAGCCATGTGGGAATGGAGAGGTTTTTGCCCTTCCCACCTTCCTCTCTCTAACTCTGCACCCCCCATCCACCTGACTGCTTCCAGCCTCCTCCTAGTGACTAGTTCAATTGTGACCACCAGCTCTCTACTGACCACCTTTCAAATGTTTTCTGCAGAAGAGTAAATGGTTTCTTTAGTTTTAGCATAATGAAAGAATATACTAAATATTCTTATTCTGCTGCTCGTTTAAAAAGACTGTCACCCCAAGAACTCTTAAGTACATTATAAAAGTTAGCTCCCTGACCCTTCCATTGTATGGAAAGGCTCCTATGTGTTTACAGAGACACAGGGAAGTAACTGATCTGTCCCCATTATCAGACAAGTAAAGCAGAAAGAGTGTACACCAGGCTAGGACTGAGGAAAGATATCCAGCCATCCTCTGACCTGAACGTAGGGCCCCACCCAAACCATCCCAGAAAGGTAACATTCAGATCTTAAGGATTTCCAGACAGGGAGATGCCATCAACTGGCTTCAGTGTTCTAAAACTCCTATTTTTATTTTAAATGCAACTCATAATTAGCAGTCCATAGACTTTTCAATGTGTATTTTAAAGGACCACAAAGCCCCCTGTCCCTTTATGTCCCACTTCAAACCAGAATGTCTGTTAGAATATTCTCCATGCGGTGGGTTCAATCAGCATTTGTAGCGAGCGAATATCTCTGTCATCTATCTATCTATCTAATCTTTATCCATCTATCCATTTTCTGGGTTCCCTAAAAGCAGAGCCCTGAGAAAAGGGCTTGTGTGCAGTCATTTATTTTGGGAAACCATTCAGGAACCCAAGTGGAGACCTAGAAGGAGTGAAGCAGGTAAGAAGGAAAGCCAGTTCCAGGGTGCATTGGGGAGCTAGCCATTGATGTGGACAGCTGGAATGCAATCCCTGTGGGGACCCTCAGGAAGGGCTGTGTAAATGTATCTCAGAACTGACAGCCCAAGGATAGAAGAGGGAATGGGCTAGACTAACCGCAGAGGGTGTTAGTTAACTCCCTTGCATTTCCACGTTTGTCCATGACAGAAAGCCTGAGTAGGTTACGACAGGCAGCCACAGAGGTGGCAAAAAAGCTTCAAGGTAGATGCAAGAGCTGCTTGATGAAGCAGGGGTGAGGGGCTGTCAATCACACCTGACCACAGCTGGTTGCTACAGCAAAGGCTGAAGTAAGAAGGTGAGTTTGCGAGGTGGAAAACAAGAGGTGTCCAATAAAATGGTCATATTTGGTGTGAATGTTGCCATCATTTTAGCCTCTAGGCCAGTGTTGGCTATCCACCCAACCTGCTAGGTTAGCGTAAAGATCTGCCCCTTTCCTCTACCCCCTGAGAAGGACTGAGCTGGGCAGAGCCAAGGACAGGGTTGGGTCACGATGCTAAGGAATGCAAGAGCTGGCACATGAGAAGCAGGTAAAGGCTCTCTCATCTATACAGCAGGGTCTCTCTTATCCGGGGTTTGCTTTTTGGTTTCTCTAATGGGATGGAGATCTGCTAGGACTCCTTCAGAGGAAGCCACTTGACAGGGATGTGGGCTGCCTCCCACCTCAGAGGCCCTCCTTGACTTGGGAAAACCACGAGAGCCTAAGAGCGACCAAAGGGGAGGAGCCATCACCCAGGCTCAAATCCAAGCAAAAGGCACCCTGGTGGCTCTCACAGGTTCCCAACTTACCATGAAAAGGGGTTCAACAAAGAGGCTGGGGGCCATAGCCCAGCTAGGAATAAGATTACATTCACCTGGTGTTTCCTCTGTGCATAACCTCCCTCAGGAACCTGGGGCTGGACAGGGAGTAGCTACCCTCATGGAAAACAGCGAACCGAAAGTTAAAATATTCACGATATGACTCTTTTCTGTTTCTTATCATCTCTGACAAACAACTAGCAGTCCTTTTACTAATGGAAGATTGGAGTAAACATGGACTCATCAGTTCATGGATGGTTACATAAATATATAGAATGTATATATAAAGAATGCATACAGTATATACATAGTAAAAATATAAACATAATAAATATGTATCTGTGTGAGCATCCAGAAGGAAGTTCATCAGTTTTATTATTCTAAGATTCATGTTAAAAGACAATATTTCTCATTTTTCCTTTGTACTGCTAAAAATAAAAACAGGTTGATGAAAGAGTCTAACATACGAAAAGAATAATTAAGGGTCAAAGAAATCGCATAATCAGAATACCCCCTTGTCCATCTTTTCTATAATTAAATAAATGGGCACAGCATTGGGTCATCACTGTACTATCACTCAGGGCCCCGTCTCTTTATGGCATCAGACAATAGACGGAGCAGCAGCAATAGCTAAATATGCAGGAATCTTGGTTACACAAAGAAGCCATGTATCTTTAAATGGGCAGAATAATAATTTCCTGCTCAAAGACTTTACAATCTAACTTGTCTGCCTGTGGATAAGAGCCTACATGTGTACATGTATAATTTTGTGTCACAGGGTCCTGTGTTTAAATATGGTGCTCTCACATGACCCATAATGCATTGCCTCCCTTATCATTATTTGGGTTGTCTTCACAACCCAAAGATGCCATCCCAGCTGAACACGTTCCAAAGCACCTCCAATCCCACCCTACCAACCACTTCTCTCCCCCAGACTCTCCTTCCATTCTAACCTTGACCAATGTCTCCTTGTCCTTTTCATTTATTATTTAATGAGCAACAAATATGTGGAAAGTCATGTGCTAGCAGCCAGTAAGAAATGGAGATAAATAAAATTCATTTCCTAGTTTTAAGGAGTTTACCAACCAATAGGAGAAATACATATTTAAGCAAATGCATTATAATGCCAGAAAAAAATACACACAAATTGCTGTGGAAATTCTGAATAAAGAGCTACCAGTTCTAACAGGGATGGGAAAAGGCTTCGTGGAGGATGTAGTATGCAAACTTCAATCTAAAGAATAAGTAGGATTTTTGTAGGCAGCACAGGTGAGGAGAGCATTCCAGACCGATGGAACACCTTGAGTAAAGGCACGAAGGTAAGAAATTGTTTGGTGGATTCTGCCTTGTCGGAAGGTTACAATAAAACCAAACAGCATGTGTACGGATTCAAACCCCTTGTCAAGGATACTGAACATCTTCACCACACTGCAGGGAAAAAGAACTAATGAAAAATTTTGAGGAGAATGGTATGATCAGACCTGTATTTTAGGAAGATAATTGTAGCAGCACTAAGAAAGGAAGACTCAAAAGGCAAAAAAGACAGAGACAAGGTGTGTTCAAAATGTCCTAAACTGAAGTCATCATCTTCTCCCTCAGATCTGCCCCTTACCACGCATCCTTAGCCCCAGTGAGGGCACCCCCATCCTCCAGGTTACCCCAGCTATAAAACTTGGGGTCAGCTTTGCCCCCTTCCATCCTGCCTTCTTCTTTTTCTTCCTTCCTCTCTTTGGACAACTAATCCATCACACAGTCCTGTTTATTTTATCTGCCAAATATTTTATGACTCTATCCTGTCTTTTCTATTCTTAACATCCTGGTGCAGGTCCTTCACATCTTCACCAGGTGTATCACAACAGTTTCCTGTCTGGATAGGACATTCTGGTGTAAAGACTGAAAATTCATTCCAGAGCTCAGAAGAAAGATCACGATCAGACTTGCAGGTGCAAAGATGATACCTGAAGACAGCAGAGTGGGTGATAACACCACGACTGCAACAGCAGCTGCAACAACAACGACAAAGCCACCGAAGACAGAACCTTGGGAGATCCCACCTTTAGTGCAGGGGGTTGAGGTGGAGCGGACAGCACAGGAGAATGAGAGGAAATGATCGGAGGAGCTGTAGACAAGCACGACATTGCTAGAGAAGCCAAGGATAGAGAGACTTTTCTGGGAAATTGTACGGAAGGATGAGTACAGGGGGGCTGAATCTCATAGCCTTCACCAATTTGATGATCCTCGGTGACCTTTAAGGATGCAGTTTCAGTGACAGGTTGGGAGTGGAAACCAAATTCTAACAGATTAAAGAATGAGTCCACGTTGAGAAGCTGGTGATGAGGAGAAAGTCTACCCTTGTATTAGGTTTGGTAGTGAAAGAAATAAAGTTCATGCACACCCAGCTCTTGCCAAAAGGTTTCTAAACTTCCCTGCTCTCTCAGGGAAATCTAACTTTTTCCTATTTTCTCCTTCACATTCCTTCAAAAAAGAGAACAGTAAACTGCTGTCATAATCTCCAGCCACACTCCAAACCAATTTTCCATATCTCTTGGGTATCAACTCATCCTCTGAAGTGCAGGCAGCAGTCTTTGTACCATCCCTGCTATTGCTGTCTGCCAAGACCAGTTTCTGTTAGCCAAAGACAGCCAAAGGAAACAGGGGCTCAACAGTTCCT